GCCATGTCACAATCAATTGAGTCAGCCATTGAAAGCATCATATGAAATTCACTCCTGCAGTATTGTCAGGGAAGTTTCTTTGAACTTGTCAGCACTGTAATTGTGTCAGTCATCAATGGCTTTGGGCTGCACATTGCTAGCAGGATACCTTTAGATACCTTTCACCCATGTGAGCTTCAGGGTTGTTTAGGATTTACCCAGAATCCTCAATTTTAATGGTACAATAGGGATAAGAAATGAAATCTTTCACTTCTTACTCACTGAATACAACTGCAGGAGCATTGGTCCATCCTTAAGGACCACGTCCCATGTGGAACCCATGACAAGTAGCACTGTAAGTAGCAGTAAGTTATTAATCACCAGATTATGTAGTTTGGGTTCCTGACAGCTTTATCCTCACATCTTGTCTTGTGCATCTGCCTGTCCTGTCTTTCCATTCTTTTGGTTGTGCTTTAAAATACTCTTTTTTTTTTTAGCACAACTCTTTTGGTTGTGCTAAAAAATAAGGACTGGGCACCACAAACTGTGTAACATGGGTAATAACAAGTGATGAGTAACATGCAGTAGCAACTGAAGCTGTGAGTTTCACAACTGAGTTACCAAGCCTTCCCAAGTCTGTTTGAATGGTGACTGAAGGCATGTTCTCAGCAACTCAGTAAAATTGGTGGGTTCCATCTTGAGAATGGGCTTTGTGGGAAAGAACTGTTTGAATTTAACCTTGGTGGTTATCATGGATATCTAGTCAGCAGAGAGTGAAGTTGCCTCCTTAGATCCTTTCACCCCTGTGAGATAGTTAAATGTAAAATGTAATTGTTGCTGAGGTTTGAAAGGGTCCCTAAAGGTCTTTGGGATGACAGAGCAGTGGGTGTGCCAGAGGTCTGTTATAATGCCAGGAAATGTTGCTACCTAGTCCTTAAAGATTACACTACGAATAAGGAAGGAGTAATTAATTAGAAAATTACGTGTTTAAATTAGACACTATTTTTGAAAGTGACATAAGAAAGTGGTTTAGAAGTGGAAAAATTTGCAAAATAGAGGCATAGGAATGTGAAGCTGGGAAGGTTGGATGTATGCTTTTATTCTGTAAATGAATTGGTGTTATGATTTTGGGCATGAGCATTACTGGACTCCTCTGACAGTTTATCAGGATGAGAAGTTTGAGTAAGACAAGTGGGGTGTAGCCTGAGAAGTCAGAAGAGAGGGCATCTGCTCCACTTCTGCCTGTGGGAGCAGGGGCTGCTACTGTTGTGTCCCAGCTCTAACAGCTCTGGTCTGGCTTAGCAGAAGCAAATGATTGAAGTGAACAGTTCTTCCTTGAGATAGAAAAATGGTGTGACTTGCAGTTGTCTATTACATTTTTTCAAGTGGTTTTGCTACACAAAATCCTGTTCCAGCCCACCTTTCCAGCATTACCGATTCAGCAGGGCTCTAGGTTACACTGAGGACCCAGCTCAGTGGAGCAGCCACGGGCACTGCGGGCGAAGTGTTGTTAATGGTTCCCAACGCTTTTTTTAACAGTAGGTTTGGCTAACACGGGGCAGCCTGAGAACAAGCCCTTGTTAGCCCTCAGCAGCAGGACAAGGCCAGGCACCAGACGCAGGGGGAAGCTGGGGCGCCCCGCCGTTGACGTCAATGGCAGTGGGGCCCACTGGCCCGCAGGTAGCCGTGGGAAAGGCATCCCCGAGCGGGGCTGCCTGTGCCCTGGCAGCCTGGGCAGGGTGCCCAGCGGTGCCTGGCCTGCACCCGGTGATGGTGGAGGGGGAATTAGGCTTTCAGGGCTGTGAGGGCGCTGGCTGCTGGAGGTTTGGCATTGCATCTGATTGTAAAAGCAGGCTGGTTTATTGTTGAACAGCAGCTCTCAGATTGTGAGTCCAAGACCTGATTTGAAACTGCAGCCAAGTGTAGTACTGTGCTTGGAGACTTTTTGTTCTTCCAGTGATGTATTTGGGTTTGTTTGGGCCAGAAGTGTGCCCAGGGCCTGGCTCTGAGTTTCAGGGGTCACTCATAATGGAGACTGCAGCTAGGAGGCCAGGAGGTGTTAATTCACTTTAGTTTGACTACCTGAACCTCGTTTAAATTAGTGTGAGAAGCAGCAGACACGAGCATCCCTGTCTTGCTCCCCACGGTAAAGCAAGTTCCTAAATACTGAAGTGTGAAGCCATTAGCATCCCCTCCTGGGGCCAAACCCGCACAGCCGAACACGGAGGGAGGTGAGGGACGTTAAAGAAAGAAATGGGCAGGTGAAGGGGGGGTGATGGCTGGGCTGGGCGCGGGGATGCGCCCGGCCTCTCTCCGCAGAGCCTCCCCGCACTCCCTCACCCGCCTCTCCCCCCGCAGCTCCTGGACCTCTTCATGGTGTGGGACTGGTCCACCTACCTGGCTGACTACGGGCAGGGCACCTCCAAGTACCTGCGGGTCAACCCCAGCACGGCCCTCACGCTGCTGGAGAAGTAAGTGCGGGAGCAGCCGGCGCGGGGAGCGGAGCGGCGCCGGAGCCGCCCTGCCGGGAGCGGCGGGGCCGGGCTGCGGGAGCGGCCGGCGGTGCCGGGGTTGCCGCTCCGCGAAGGGACGCGCTGAGCTTCGGCCGTGCTGAAGCCGATGCGAGCGCTTTGGGCGGCCTGGCGGGCGGGCAGGGCACGCTACCGGCAGCCCGGTACCAGCCTGCTTGTAAAAACCGCATCAAATCACGTTGCGGTTTAAATATGCTTTCTAACAATGTTTTCTCTCCTCTCCTGCCTGCGATGAAAATGTCTTTTGCAGAGTTCACAGAGGGTATGTATCGCCTATATTGTTACAAAATATTGTTTCTGTAACTTACTTAATTTCCCGAATTTCGTTTTTATATCCGTTGGTGTGGGAAATCAGCAATATAGATGCCCATTATTGACGGTGAACAAAATTCACCCATTCGCCGAGTCTGAATTTACCATGGAAGCAGATGATACTAACGGGTTTTCTGACTTGCTTCTCTCTTAAGGCAATTAGTAGGATCAGGGTCCAGCTGAAGGGGTACTTGCTTAATACTTACAGGTTATTTGTGAAGTAGTATTTGTTGAAACGAACACATTATGTATTTCTGCATTGCAGAAGTTTAATTTAAAAACACAGAGTGAACAGGTTTTGTAATCTTTCAGTTCTTATTAGCAGAAGGATCCAAAGAAGAACAGTAGTAAACCAACCTAAATATTCGGATTTTTCCTTTTCAATTTACGTTTCTAATGTGTTTGTCATTTGCTTTTTTATTTCTCTAGAATGAAAGACTCCAGCAAAAAGAACAACATTTTTGCTCAGTTCAGGAAGAATGACCGTGACAAGCAGAAGCTAATAGAGACTGTAGTAAAGCAACTTAGGAGTTTAGTAAATGGTATGTCCCAGCACACATAGGCCTCTTAAATTGACAGAATCTCATCACACCAAGAGGTGCTTCTTATCCACTATTTCTACTAAGCAAATGGCGATACCAGTTAGGGCTTTTGTTTAACCGAGAAAAGGAAAAATGCAGTAGATAGATTGTACATGTAGTCTTCAACAAACAATTCTTTGTACGTATTTTTAATGGGTCGAATACTATTTTGTATATTGTAAACAAATGGTGAAAAATAAGGTTGTACAATAAAAACCAGCTCAATCGTATTGTACATGGAACTGCTGAACTGTAAATATGTTATTTAAATATCTGCAGATATGGTGTCCAAAATTTTGCTCTGAGTAGGAATTATTTTAGAAATTATCTCTTAGTTGCTGTTTTCTGGTTGAATCCTAATTTAATGGTTTTAAGCATTGAGATACTTGTGTTTCAGATGCTGCTTACTGTTTTCCTGCATTAAATGTATATTAGCCCTAAAGTGATTTGACATAATTTTGTATACCAGGTTTTGTAGTCTGGAGGTATGAAAAGGTCTTCTGATTTTTAGTACCTTTGAAAACTACCTGAGAACTAGACTTGATACTATTTAGCATTAGGACTTACAGGCTTTGTTCTCCGAAAGGGTTTAATCTTGAGGTTGTGAATGTAAATAATAATTTGATTTCTTTATAATGTGACATGTTGTTTCGTTTTGGTTTTGTTCCTCAGGGTTGCTATTTCTAACTGTACTTTTGTAAGATCTCGGGTTCTTTATCCCAGGTTGCAGTAAGGAATAGGTTTGCCGCTGTTGGTTTCGTGCCGCATCTGTTTGTTAGTTCGCGCTTTCTCCTGCCAGCCCCATCCCAACGATTAGCATTTTGTCCCACTACCGGTCTCTTTGCACTGTCCCCTCTGGCTGTTTTAGACACTAAGAGAATGTCTAACAAATACAAACCAAATGGAACGTGTAAAAATAATGTACATTTTCGCTGTATTTTTAAGTTATTGACGGTCTAAATACAGTAATATAAACCTCACCCATATTCCTGTTTAATTTCACACACCGAAACACACCTCGGAGCTGGTTTGGCGGGACCCGTGCAGGTCCCGACTCACCGGTGATTCACGGCGGGTGCGGGCCGGGGATCCGCGCGGCCCCGGCGGCGGGTGCGGGCCGGGAGCGCTGCAGGGCCGGGCAGCCGGGCCGCGGGGCCTGCGGAGCGGGGCTGGGCGCTCCCCGGTCGGGGAGCCCGGGACGGGACTCGCTACCTGGGCAGGCTGCCGGCGGGGCGGAGCGGGTGCCCCGCTCGCAGGAGCGCCCGGAGGAGCTGGGCGGGGGCGGGAGGGGCGCCGGGCCCCAGCCCCGGGCTGCCCCGAGCCCCTCGGCCGCTGTCCCCGGGCCTCCCGCGCCAATCACCGCACTTGGCCGCGCTGCTTAAATATGCAGCGGATACGTCATCTCCGAAGGTGGATCGGGCGTAAGTGGCCAATATCTATATAAATGTGGCCGAGGGGCGAAGCGGCAGCAGAGGCGAGCGGGGCGGGCGGGCCGCAGCCGGCAGGGCCCGCCGCGCAGCGCCCGCAGCCGAGCCCGGGGCGCCGCCGCCCTGCCCGACAGCCGCGCCGCCCGCCCCGTGCCCGCCGCCGCAGGAGGATGCCGGCCGGGCCCTCCTGGCCCGAGGCGGCGGCGCTGGTGCTGCTGGCCCTGGCTCTGCTGGTCACCCTGTGCCGGCACCTGTGGGCGCTGCGCTGGAGCCTCAGCCGAGACCGCGCCAGCGCCCTGCCCCTGCCCAAGGGCTCCATGGGCTGGCCCTTCTTCGGGGAGACTCTGCACTGGCTGCTCCAGGTGAGGCGCCGGGGGACGGGGCGGGGTGGGAAGGGGCTGGCGGGAGCCACGGGCTGACCCGCAGCTCGTCCCCAGGGCTCCCGCTTCCACAGCTCTCGGCGGGAGAGGTATGGAAACGTCTTCAAGACCCACCTCCTGGGCCGGCCTGTGGTGCGGGTGACAGGCGCTGAGAACATCCGCAAGATCCTGCTGGGTGAGCACACGCTGGTCAGCACACAGTGGCCCCAAAGCACCCAGATCATCCTGGGCTCCCATACTCTGCTCAGTTCCACCGGTGACCAGCACCGCCAGCGCCGCAAGGTGAGCCCCACAGCCACCCTGACAGGGCACACAGCCCAGGCAGCATCTCCGGCCCAGCCCTGGGCCTCAGTGGCATATGTGCTCCCCCTGCTTTAACTACCTGCCTCTCTTCCTCCTTTTCCTAGATCCTGGCCAGAGTCTTCAGCCGTGCCGCCCTGGAGAGCTACCTGCCGCGCATCCAGAAGGTTGTGAGCTGGGAGCTGCGGGGCTGGTGCATGGAGCCAGGCTCTATCGCAGTTTATTCCTCCGCTAAAACCTTAACTTTCCGCATTGCAGCTCGCATTCTGCTGGGGCTCCGCCTGGAGGAAAAGCAGTTCAAGGATTTGGCCAAAACTTTTGAACAGCTGGTGGAGAACCTCTTCTCCTTGCCCCTCAACATACCCTTCAGTGGGCTGCGCAAGGTACTGCTGCCTGCACTGCTCCCTCTGCCCGGGGCAGGGCCTGGGCCCTGGCAGCACAGACCCCCTGTCCCTAGGCCCACCAAGGGACATTTCTGATGGGCCAGGACATCTGCAACATCCCATTCTAGGTCTGAGGGCTTGATGTCTTACCTACCCTAGCTAATTCCCCTTCTCTCTGCACTTCTCACCTGCTCCTGGCTGGCTTTCAACACCTCTGGGCACTGGCTCTAACTCGTTGTACAGTGTAGGGCTCCTCTTCTCCCTCATCCCATATGTTGCCTCTGGTGAGTCCATCATGTCTGGCCCTGTCCCATCTTATCCTATCTGAGCTCATGTCAGCCTATGGCAGAGGGGTGTGTGGGCATAAGCACAAAGAAAGGTGGGCACAGCGCACCTCAGCTTAGCACCCCTCCGAAACTCAGGCAGCCTGGGAACTTAAGACCCTCTTATGGTCCTCAGTCCCTTGTAATCCAGCAGCCCAAAGACAGTCCAGGGACAGTCTTCTCTGCCTTTTTCAACCTGCAGTTTCTTCCCTGCTGCTCTGCCCCGCTTTGCCTGCCTTTCCACACTCCTGCTCTAGGTATGGGTCCTGTGTACCATTCTTCCTCTCACATTTCTCCCTCCTCTGCCTTTGGATTCTCCACCCTTACCACAGCTGAAGTCTCCTGTCCACTTTAGCCCCTCAACTCTTACTTTCACTGTCTCTGCCCAGTCGGATCACGTTACCCAGCCAGTTCCAGTTCTCCCTCAGCCTCCCTGCTACTCTTCATCAAAGCTCTTGTTTTCCCTGTCCAGTTTCCCTTTACAGGTTGTCACCAGTATGAGCTTTCATCCCCCCTGCCCTTTTTAGGTCAGCCAAAGCCTGTCTGGCCCCAGACCAACATCCTTAACTTGCCTTTAAGTCCCCTTGTCTTTCTCCTCACTCTCTGCCCGGTTTATTTTGTCCAATCCTTCCCATCTCAAATCTAAGCCTTTTTATCTTCTTCCCAATATTTGGCCATGGCCATTTTTAATTTCAAATTTCTGGTCCTTCTGGCTTTTGCAGGACACATTTTTTTTTTTGTAGAGAGTCATACACTGTGTGATTCCATCCATCCCACTTTGCAAAGGCATTGCTGATCACTTGCTGAGATCTTACTTGAGTGTTTCGCTGCACTGGAGTGCTTCACACCTGAAAATGATCTGACTGTGATTAATGTGTCTTTATCCACTATATCCTTGTAAAACCATTCAGGCCTTGCTGTCTGGACTCAGTTTTCTTGTTACCTTCTCTTATCCCTTGGAATAAGCTTCTTTTGGATCTGACACAGCTGTAGACTTGCTCAGTGCAGATGCCTCTGAACTTGGTAGCTTGAGTTTACTGCTGTCTTTTCCTCCCAGAGAGTTTCTTGGGACTTGTTGCATTTGATTCACAACAGCAGGGCAGCAGAATGTGCAGCATTTCCCCCCAGACTGCTGCCTCTTGCAAGGTTCTGGGGCTGGACAGCAGATTAAACAGTTCTTGCTATTACAGGGATTAAGGATCACTACACTTGGGTTCCCCTGGTCTCTCTAGAGAGGGGGGCAGTTCCTAAGGTTCTCTTGAACTGTGTGTGCCTCTCACAGGGAATCAAAGCACGGGACATGCTACATAAGTTTATGGAGAAGGCTATACAGGAAAAACTGCAGAGAAACAACCCAGAAGACCACAGTGATGCTCTGGATTTCATAATGAACAGTGCCAAGGAGCATGGCAAAGAATTCACCATGCAGGAGCTAAAGGTAAGGAGAACCTCTGCCTTGCAGTGCCACTCCTGACTCGGTGGCTGTTTGAGAGACGTGGGCTGGGGGCCAGGCAAGGTGCGTGTGGGGACCACCCCCAGCTGCTGGCTCCTGGCCCCCTCTTACCAGCAGTGAGGACACCAGCTCCTACACTCCTCACACTCTTATGCCCTCATAGGCTTGTGTCTCTTTGCATTGGAAGGGACTCTTTTAAAAGGGAATGAGTGCCCCTTCTACTTTTCCTCTTCATGGCCACCAGCCTTCAGCCTGATGTAGGATGCTGGTAGGGTTATGTGGCTGTGTTAAGGCTCTGCATGTCTGTGCACTCAGTAACCTCCAGGACACTCTCTTGGGAAGTATACGAAGCTACTTGTGTGCTTCTCAGACACAGCCTTGCTTTTTGTTCAAATTATCTGGGAAGACAGTTTTCCCAGAAATTTTCCTGAATACACTGTGATTTGTGTTGCTGCCATGAACTCACCAGGGCCCTTGAAATGTAAATGTCATTAAAAAGATGTTGCTTTGCCAACAATATTGTTTTAAAGTATTTTAAACTTTAGAAAGATTTGAAAAACCCATCCTGCATAATAATGTTGTTACTGGCTGGGTGTAATGCTGCCCATTCTGCCTCCCGGGACAGGGACAGTACTGGTAAAGAAACTTGGGGATATCCTGCCTTCCAGTCACTGGTTCTGCTGGTCTTGTAGAAGCAGGGAGGGAAAGTTGTGACAGCAGCTGTGACACAAGTTCTGCAGCAGCACTGTCAGAGGTTGATGCAAAGAGCATAAGGGCTGTTATTTCAAACCTAAGAGCTTGCCCTAAATTCCTTGCATGCTATTGAAATGTCTTGGGGTTTAATTGCATGTGGTGGAACTGAGAGGTTTCTTTTCATCTGTGTCTGCTACCTTGTGAATGTAAAAATTGCTGCTAGTGCCTGCAGGAGGTGTGATAGGGGTTGACAGGAATCTGTTGTTCCAGGGGTTTTATTTCAGCTGAAAGATGCCCTTGAGAGCTGCTCTTTCGCAAAAGCATCTAGACCAGCCAATATATGGCACTAGGGATGGTAGCAGTCATCTTTGTTACATTATCCTTAATTTTATCAGATTTGAATCCAAGTACCTTCAATCTTCAAGTGTTCTCTGTGTTTGTGGCTTCACCTCTCCAGTACTGGTTGTGGCAGAACAATTTAAAGTCCAGACACACTCATGTGAAAGGAAACTGCTCTGTGTCCCTGGGCTTGAGCGGTTAGTGCTCACTCCTCTTGCCTCCTCTTGCTCCTCTTTACTCCTAGGCTGGAGCAGTTAGTCCTCTGTAATACCAGTCAGGTTCCAGGCCTTCCAGGGGGGCAGCTCCTGGTACTCCTGCCTTTGGCTTCTTCTTGGCTTTTGTCTCTGGCCTGAAGCCTCAGCACTCCCAGCCCTGTGCTATGGAGCCACTGGCACCTTCAGATGGTGCCGTAGGTTTGAGCATTATGGTTGCTGTCAGAGACGTGTCATGCCATGAATGAGCTCCTGGCAACCCTTAACTTTTGGGAAACTGTTTGCAAAAGTTGGTCAGAGGGCGCTGCAAACAGCTCCCGGCAACCTGGCATGAGCTGTTCCATATAGACCCTGCAGACAAAGGCTGGGAGGCTGCGAGGGGACTTTGGGCAAGGCACATATTACAGATTTGACTGTGCTGTGGTCCATCTATCTGAGCTGATTAATTTCCTAACTTGTTACAGATACATCTGCTGTGGAGATACTGGGAACTCTGCTGTGCTTCAGGCTGTACAGCTTGAAAAGCAAGTCCTTTGCCTGGTGTGTGCTCCCTGAAGTGCTTCTGGCTACAGTACTTCCCAGGCTGACCTGCTCTAGCAGAGTGGTCTTTATGCTTTTGATTCTTGCCTTGAGTATCCTCCCAGATAAGATCAGTCATAACTGGAGATGGATCAAATGCAACCCATTTTAGCTGCCAGCACATCTAGAATTTGTGCATAAACCATTGCCCATATCCACTGCCTGGACAGAAAAGTAAAAGCTGGGTGCAGAGGGGAATTGGCAGATGATGATAAAAAGCATAATACTTGAAATGGACTTCACTCAACGTGCTATAATGCATGCTAAAGTGCTGCCTTGAAATTGGTAAATCTTGTGAGGAAAACTCAGAAGAGCTGGATTGGAGGTCATGTGTACTCATTCCAGCTGTGGTTCTGCAGCAGTCACGTGGCAAATGGATGTCCAGTTCATATAGAAATACTTTGGTCCCTGCCAACCCAGGATGAGTGCAGGTCTGGGGAGAGCAGAGTGGAGGCCAGGGCCCCCTGCACAGGGGCGTAACCTGAAAAAGGTGAGAACAGTCTGAGACACAATCACTTTGAAATGTTATTCAAACTTGTCATTTTTATTCCTCTCCCAGGAATCAGCAATTGAGCTCATATTTGCTGCTTTTTTCACCACGGCTAGCGCTAGCACCTCTCTGATCCTCCTGCTACTAAAGCACCCCTCAGTGATTGAAAAAATAAGGCAGGAGCTGATGTCCCATGAGTTGTACCAGCAGAGTGAGTGCTGCCCTGCAGGACCCTGCCTGGATACCCTGACCATCCAGAGCAGGGACAGAGAGAAACCACTTTCCCACCCCATGGCCAAAGACATTCACAAGGACCAGAGCCAACCCCCAGCCCCAGTGGAGGAAGATTCCCTCCAGCCCAGTGCCCTGCTGGAGCCCACTGTCCCGCGGAGCACGCCCTGCCCTGGCCCCGGCACCCCGGCAGCACCGGGGCAAAGCTGTCACTGCACCGCAGAGATCAGCCTGGAGAAGCTGAGCCGCCTGCGCTACCTGGACTGTGTGATTAAGGAGGTGCTGCGAGTGCTGCCCCCAGTCTCCGGAGGCTACAGGACGGCACTGCAGACTTTTGAGCTCGATGTAAGTGCCTCACACTCTGGCAGGCTGGTAAAGAGCTGCTGCCTGCCGTTGTGAGCAAGCACCCTGTGTCCTGCACAGTGGTGGTGCTTGGCAGTGGAGCTCACCGGGAAGTATCACCCAGCAACTTCTCTGGGTCCCACTTGGGCTGGGGAGAAAAGGAACTGTAGAGCAGGTGGGCAGTGCAGTGGAGCTGTCTGCAGGCACCTCTGCTCCAGTAGCACAGGTATGTAACAGTCCTCTCCTCCCTCTTCTCTCCCTTTCCCAGGGCTACCAGATCCCCAAAGGCTGGAGCGTCATGTACAGCATCCGTGACACACACGAGACAGCTGCTGTCTACCAGAGCCCCCCCAGCAGCTTTGACCCAGACCGCTTCGGTGCCAGCCGGCCAGAGGCTGCAGGCCGGTTCCACTACATCCCCTTCGGTGGAGGGGCACGGAGCTGCATCGGGAAGGAGCTGGCACAGGCCATCCTCAAGCTGCTGGCCATTGAGCTGGTCAGCACAGCCCGCTGGGAGCTGGCCACCCCTGGCTACCCCACCATGCAGACCGTGCCCATCGTGCACCCTGTCGATGATGGGCTGCAGCTCTACTTCCACCCCTTGCAGCCCAGCCAAGGCCACGAGGCCTGAGCCAGTGAGGGGGGCACTGCTCCCCTCAGCCCTGGGGCCGATGCCCCTCCACAGCTGCCAGGAGCAGGCTTCTGCTGTCACAGGCTGGGAATGCTACTGGGTCACTGCCAAACAAAACCTTAAAGGTCTTTCTATTTTTTTTCTCCTGGTGTACAGGCTGGTAGAGTGTTCAGGGTGCTGCAGTAGGGTGTCCTGCAGAGTCCCACTCTTGAACACTGGGGCAAACCCTGCTGAAGCTGCTGGCAGGGTGTATATGCCATGGGGGCTCATTAGCCCCTGCCCCATACAGGCCCCCAGCTACCAGGGATGGGGAGCAAAACTCCCAGACCCACAGCTAAGACTCCCAAGGTTATCTCCTGTAGGTGTGTTATAGGAGAGGCAGGACAAACATCCTGCACACTTGTAGCTTTTTAGATGAAAAAAGAGGGAAAGTGGAGGGCTCTGCAGGAAAACACAGGGCCGGAGTTGCCCAATCCCCAGCATCAACTCTAGATAGAGTAATAGGGTGTAAAGTGCTTTTTATTGTAAATATTTAATCTCATTCATGCACTTCCCATTAGAGCTGGCACAAAGAGGATATCTCTCATTCACCCACTCATAGTAGCTGTGTATGTTGTGCTTGAGCACTGTGCTGCTGCTTGGGTTCTGCCCTGAAGCCATCTCTGAGGTCCCCCCAGGATATTCTCTCCAGCCACAACCTGCCCGTGGGATTGGACTGAAGCAGGGGGAGGGGGCTTTGGGGAACAAATGTTTAGAAAGGAGACGTTTCTGAATATGTCTGATTTGTGGTAGAAAGTCCCTTGTTCCTGATGATGCTTTTCACATTGCAGAGGGGACATTTGCAAGGTGACACGGGCTCTGTGGTAGCTGGCTGGCTGGCTGGCCAGACTGACTGTCCCCTCTGTCAGCCCAGGGAAAGTGTCAGGACAGCAGTTCCATGCATCCATCCAGGGGGTGGGGGGTGGTACCCGAGGCTAACCGTGGGTGCTGAGGGCACCCTTTTAGATGGCTTTTGAGTACCCCTACAGGATATTTCTCTCTCATGTAAAATAAAATGGAGTCCTGTTGTTTGTGTACTGCGAACAGAGCTGGGCCCAGGTCCTTGATCTGCAATTATGTGTTTATACGTTTCTTTCAGCTTCACTTCTACTCCCCACTGTTGTGCATTCTGTGTGAATGCAGTGGGAAAATAATCCTCTTTGTCCCTCTAGAGCATCCCATGCCTGATGGTATCATGAGCTCTGTGTGAAGAACCAGTTTGACCTGTGAGGGCCAAAACATGGCACGAAGACAGTGTCCCTTTGGAAAGGCTCTGGGGAGCTCTCCAATCTCCTGAAACTCTATGATCATTCATCATAGCTTTGCTGCTAGAGATGGCCTTGCCCTGGCCAATCCTCCTTGCCTGTCTGTGCTGGGGCACTGCAGTAGGGCATGTGCTGGCATTTACTGTGCAACAACCACGCCACCTCGGGCAGAAACCTGGCTCCCAAATGTGACAAGTCAAATCTGGGAGAGGTTGAACTGCAGGGCTGAGTTAAGTGCTATTGGCAAGCCGACCCTGTAGTGAACCAGAGCCTCTGGCCCTCCTGACCTTGTCCTGAAAGGTGAATCTTTTTGCCTATCAGAGGTGAAATCAGTAGATGGTGGCTGCAAGTGGCAATGACTAACTTTAATTAGCAGGAGCTGCTGGCTGGCTGAGACCTCGGGCGATTCAGGGTCTCACCGCGGGCAGGGCTCGGGCAGGGCTGGGCCTGCAGCGTCCCGCACCCTGTGCAGGAAGGTCAGGGCTCCTCCAGCAGCGCACTTCAAAATTACCCTGAGCGCCAACAAGCCCGCTGAAAAATGTAACATGAATCTAGTTAAAAAAAAAAAAAAAAAAAACAAAAAGAAACTGATAAACTGATTTTGTTTGCAGATAAACACAAGCATTTACAAATGAAGTGTAATAATTGTTACTTGTAATCAAAGTTTGTTCATATTAGGCTGTTAATTTCTTGACCCCCTTCCAAGATGTTTTTAATTATCCCATTCACTCTTTACCATTTGATTCTTTTCAAGCCGATGGCTGGGGAATACACAGCTGGGAAGATAATAAAGCCTTCCTGTGGCAATTATCGGTGCTCAGGCCACCGTATCTCGTTATTTTGATAGACAGTGAACTTGGCGCGGTTGCCGGCCGGGTTCACGCAGATGTCACGGTCCGTGTTGTAGGTCACAAGCAGGTCAGCGCCCGGCAAGGGGAGAGCGCCGGGTCAGGGCGCGGCCGCCGCTCCCGGCCAGCGCCGGCCGGGCTGCGCGGAACCGGCCGGGCCGCGGCGAACCCCGAGGGGCTACTGCCCCCGGGCCGGGGGACTACCCTCGGGGGTTCCCTCCTGGGCAAGGGGCTGCGGCGGCGAGCAGCCCCGCTCCAACAAGGCATCGTAAGAAGAGGGCGGGTCTCGTGTGATGCGTTGATTGTTAGAAAAATAATAAGAAGTGACATCACCCTCTCCCCTACACAGACACACACACAAAACTTCCAGCGTTTATTGAGCTTGTCTGGGAACAAGAAAGCAAAAGTAACAGGGTAACCGTAAAGAAAAAAAAAGTGTATTGGCAGCAGCCGTGGTCGGCGGAGAGCTCCGCGCCCCGCAGCCGCGGTCCGCGCCGGGTGCCCCTTCCCCAGCGGCCGGCGGCTCCTGCCCGGCACCAGCAGCAGCCTCAGGCAGCGCAGCCCTCCCGCTGCCCCGCTCCCGCCCGGAGCCGCCGCTCCCGTCCGGAGAGCAGCGCCGGTGCCCGCCCGCCAGCCCCCTCTGCGCCGCGGCTGCAGGCGGGGAGCCCGGCCTGCCGAGCGCCTCTTCCCGGCCGCGGCAGCCCCGACGGGATGCCGGAGAGCCTCAGGCGAGGGCGGGCAGTGGATGCCGGGGAGCTGGGAACGGCGAGTTTCGTGTTTCCTTTCCGCTCTCACCTTCTTTTCCCTCGGTGACCCGCGCTTGAACCTGCATCGGGAGGCTGAGACGGACCGCTGCCGGCGGCTCCTTCCTCCACGGCCGGCAGAAATACAAGCCGTGCCTTTCGAGGTGAACCAGGGGGCAGCGGAGGCTCCTCCGCCGATGCGCTGGCACAGCTGCGGCTCTGCTCAGGGAGTCTCCGGGCTGCCCCGGCACGGGGGACCGTCCGCTCCGGCTGCCCCACGGTCCCGGCCCGGTGTCTCCCGGGTCCGGCCGCCGTTCCCAGCCGACGACGGTGGCGGGCGGACGCAGGAGCTCCGCAGAGTGCATCGGCGCCGGGAGGTAGCGCCGCGGGGTAGGTGACTCCGGGCTGCCGGGTGCCGGCGCGGGAATTTCTGGGTGTAACTCCTGGTCTCGAAAGAGCATCGGCGATAAATCCGAGGACGAGGAGGCGGTGGTGGCCGACCACCGGCTGTCAGCTGTCGGCGGCGTTCCGCAGCCCACTCACCGAGCGCGGTGCAGGGTCAGGGAGCCCGGAGCCGCTGCCGCCGCCCCCGGCAGCACCTTTCCTTCACCGGCAGCGGTCTGCGGCGGGTAGGATGCACTACGCAAAGCAAATAGTTAAAGATTTCGAGGGGAGGAGCCAGGCCGCAATCCGCAATTAAAGATGAACTTTGGGTGAACTAATTTATCGGACCAAGGTAGGGGTGGGCAGCAACCTGGGAAGGGTATAAAAGGCGGCCCGCGGCGAGCCCAGCCCGCGCACTCAGAGCTCCCGGGGGGCTGGGCGGGAGTCGCTCCCCAGCCATGGGCTTCTCCGCCCTAGTCGCCAGCGCCCTGTGCACCTTTCTGCTGCCCCTGCTACTCTTTCTGGCTGCCGTCAAGCTCTGGGACCTGTATTGCGTGAGCAGCCGCGACCCCAGCTGCCCGCTCCCGCTGCCCCCGGGCACCATGGGGCTCCCCTTCTTCGGGGAGACGCTGCAGCTGGTGCTGCAGGTAAGGGCAGGCGATGGCGCGGGGAGCGGAGAGGCGCCCCTCTGGAGCCAGAGCTCCTCGGGCGGCAGGGGAGGGAGATGAGCGGCAACTTTGACAGGCTCCCGTACCCAGGTGGGAAACAGCTGCTCTCCCTACCTCTTCCTCTTATGCTTTCTAAAATTTATTTTATCGCTTCCCCCCTCTCATCCCCTGTCTAGAGGCGGAAATTCCTGCAGATGAAACGCAGGAAATACGGCTTCATCTACAAGACTCACCTCTTTGGGCGGCCCACGGTACGGGTGATGGGCGCCGAGAACGTGCGGCACATCCTGCTGGGCGAGCACCGGCTCGTCTCCGTGCAGTGGCCCGCCTCGGTGCGGACCATCCTGGGCTCGGGCTGCCTCTCCAACCTCCACAACGGGCAGCACAAGCACCGCAAAAAGGTACGGGCCGACGGCGGGCGGGGAGCGGGCGTGGTCGCCCCGGGCGCGGCGGCTGAGCGTCTCTGTGCCGTTCCTCCTCGTCCCCCCGGGCAGGTGATCATGCGCGCCTTCTCCCGGGACGCCCTGCAGCACTACGTGCCCGTCATCCAGGAGGAGGTGAGCGCCTGCCTGGCGCGGTGGCTGGGCGCCGCCGGGCCCTGCCTGCTCGTGTACCCCGAGGTGAAGCGCCTCATGTTTCGCATTGCCATGAGAATCCTGCTGGGCTTCCAGCCCCGCCAGGCCAGCCCCGACGGCGAGCAGCAGCTGGTCGAGGCCTTCGAGGAGATGATCCGCAACCTGTTCTCCCTGCCCATCGATGTGCCGTTCAGCGGGCTCTACCGGGTAAGGCTCGCGGCGGGCCAGGGCACGGCGGAATCGACGGGGGAGGGACGGCAGTACTGACTAAGACCCAAACTGCTCTCCCTCCTGCTTGGTTAGGGCTTGCGGGCACGCAACATCATCCATGCCAAGATCGAGGAGAACATCCGTGCCAAGATGGCCCGCAAGGAGCCCGAGGGCGGCTACAAGGATGCGCTGCAGCTGCTGATGGAACACACACAGGGTAACGGCGAGCAGCTCAACATGCAGGTAAGGTTCCTCAGGACTGGATTAA